CCCACACTGGAGCAGGTTTCCTGGTAGGACTTCTAATCACATGGGGAACCCAAGCTGGGGCAGGCTGTGTCTGCAGGACTGCACACAGTGGAAAGGGACCCACATTGGAGTAGCTCATGAAGACCTCCTGGGGAAAGGACCCCATGCTGGTGCAGGGAAATGACTCCTCTCCCTGACCAGTGGCAGAAACAACCTAGGATGAGATGAATGAACATAACCCCCATTCTGTCTCCCTGTGCCACTAGCAGGGGTGGAAGTGAGACCTGGAAGGACAAAAGCGTTGGGGGAAAGGTGATTTTAAGATTTGCTTTACTTCTCATTTCCTGTTCTGATTTTGATTGGTAATTAATTCAGTTAATATCCCCAAGTCAAGTCCATGACAATAATCTGTATGTGAATCTCCCCCTGTCCTTAGCTCAAGTTAGGAACACATTGTTTTGTTTTTCCTCTCTCCTGTCCACTTGGAGAGGGGAGCCTAGAGTTGTTTTGGTGGGTATCTGGCATCCAGCCTGGGTGGGCCTACCACACCAAGGCAATTACACCCTCAAACACAAAAAAAGAAAATCCCCACTTGTGAGTTTTACTTTGTAATGGACTTCTGATCCAACTTCCAGTGAAAGATACTAAACTTGAAACTATGACTCCGGTTTTAGCATAATTCTTCTGTGGGTGGTTAGATATCTCAAAAACACGTGCCCAAATTACTTCCCCATGTCATAATTCAAAAGCATGCCTTTCCTCTGACTTCGCTTTATCTGTGATTAAAAAAGAGCTTTTCACTCTAACATAGAGTATCAAATATTTTAGTTAAGCATCTGGTTACTTTCTTAACAACAGTCTATTGTAGGTAATTCTCAACACAGACATGGTTCAATCACCTTCCCCCACGTCCCCTTTTTAAAAATCTAAAGAACAGTAAATATTTGGAAAAATAAAGAACTATGCACAAACCGAAGAGAAGGAGAGGAACCAACAACAAAAAACTAAATTAACAAAGTTATCCTCCTGAAAAGTTTTTAACTAGCTAAAGATAAATATTTCCTCTGAAACAGCATTTTTATTTTTGACAGAATAGTAATTCTTTACCAGTAAAACAGAAAATAGTACTCAATTGCAATCATCTGTTGTTTTCTGACCAAAAAGTTAAGAATATAAGTTGCTTTTTCATGTGCATGATCATTCATAATACCTCTAAAATGAGTTCATATGAACTATGACAAGAAGAAGAAAATATAAACAATTTATAAGATTGTGGAAATAACAAAGATTAGCCCATTCAGACAAATTTCAATTAAAATATTTTTTAATAGAAAGGGAAATTGTCGTTTCTGTATATTTTGCATAATAGAGAAATGCTGTTATAACAAGAAAAAAGTTGTAGTTCATATGTAATAAACAATTTATTTTTAAAAGTTTAATAATTCAGCAAAAAGTACACAAAGCTTTCAATTTTGCAACTAAAACTTTCACCCAGAAGCAATGTTAAAAGAGGTACAGAGACATCACTGTATACCCTGGCATGTATAGATTACCTTGCAAAAAATTGAGTTATCTATGGTGTAGGTGATACCTCAATTGCTTTCTTTTTGTTTTAACAACTACTTGGAGGATGGTGAAAAAAGTTTAAAAATACCCTCTTCTACACAGCTCAAAGAGTTATTGCAAATTAAACATTATTTAAAGAATTTATCAAAAGCATGAAAAAGATTTCAAGATTTTTTTCATTTTGACTTCACTATATTTTCATGGGGAAATATGAACTCATAGAGGAAATACCAAGATACAGGCAATTTTATGATATTTAAGAGTAGCATCTGCTACTATTTTAATGCGCTCGCTAGGTGTTGGGGGGTGGATGGGTTTCTTTCTTTCTTTACTTATAGATTTTTTCCCATAAGTTGCTGGGAAACTAACTACTGGGTACTTATGGGTACTGAAGAAAAAAGAAGTGGTCAAGGTTGGGAGGGCTACACTTCTTTTCTCTGGGAGCTTCTCTCCGAGGAGAGAGATACCACGAGATTTGGGGCAAATAAAGGACGGGACTGGAGGCAGCTGAAGTCTCACTCTCTCTGGGCTTCAGAGGATGATGGTCAGACCTGCGGCTTGGGGAAAAGAATTTGCTGTCACCACTATAACCCAGCTGGGAGCTGCCTTTCTTCTGTTGCTGGGCCCTGCATCCCCTGCCCTGCCAGGACACCTCACAATTCCAGCTACTGCCACGGAGTTTCTGATAGATCTTGTCCACCAGCCAGGGATTTCTGCTCATTCCTGCCGGCCCAGCTTGCTGCTTCCGAGAGTCCTGCTGGGGCACCGGGACCAACTGCCCCAGGGGGTTTGGGAAGCGCAGCCTCTCTTCCATCCCTTCCCATCTCAGACAAAGCCGCCATTACCGTGTGCTCCCCAAGCCCGCGCAGGAGCGCCCCCTGCAGCCCCGTGAGGATCACCGCACCTGCCCTGCCCACCGGGAGCCACCAGCGCCCCTGCCGGCTGTGACCGGAACTGCACGAGAGGGTTTGATTTTCCTCTAGATAGTAACCAAGGGTTGCTGATAGGCCTAGTCTATTTAGCATTCAGAGATAAGGTGAGGTCGACTTGGATAACTTCACAGACATGTTTTGACTATTTAGAATTCAAAGAAGAAAAATAATAGAATATAGGAGACAAGTGTATATCAGGTAAAGGACATAAAATGTTTCACAAATAAACAGTTTTATCTATTCTCACTTAATGTAACTCCCTATACATTCCCCCTTTTTATTTTTAAAACTGATGCTTCAAAACACCATGAGCATGTTCCAAAAATTGCCTGGCCTATTGAAACATGGGGAATGATCACTACCTAGGCACAGAAAAACATCTGCAGTTTTTGTGAAACATATGCCGAGCCATTATCTGTCCTGATGTGTGATGAAACACCTACAACAGAAAAGGCATGGCAAAAATTATGAATAATATCCTAAGCTGCTTCACCTTCCAATGCTAATGCAACCCATGACATGAGCAAGGATGTCAACTGCAGCATAAACAGAATTTAAATGGCCAAACTCAGGCATTTTTATAACATCTGTTTGCCATTCTTACAAAAGGAGTTGGTCTCTAAGACTGGTACCATAATAGTACGAAATATGAGTCATATGACAATCAGGACAAGAAGAAATCATTGATTTCCCTTCACTTTGTGACAACTTCAGTTATTGCCATAGTGCCTAAGTACCTTGGAAAAAAAATGATGAAATAACACATTAGGTACCATTTTTACTGCCAAAGCAGCTCTAAGGGAATCCACATTGATCAATTAAGGGAATCCTTGTTGAATCATAAATTCATATTCCCAACAATCATCCTTGTTCCAAGGTACAGCAACTTTTCCAGTTTTTCCTCAATCCATCTGTAAAAACTGTTGTACTTTCCACTGGAACAGGAGAATAAATTTTTTTCCCCTAAAAAGGAATGTCCCTAGTCAAAGTCAAAATAGGATGAGAAGGTAAATGATACATTATTTAACCAGTAAAATAAGATAAAGCAGATTGCAATTTTTTATTGTTTTGCAAACCCCACTAAAAATGCTATTATTATACAGATATCACAATATTTACAGGATCATGGCCTAAGATTTTATGACAACATCTGACCCTTGATAATGATATCTGTAAAAACCTCATAGTCCTGAAACTGTTTTTCGAGATCTGAAAGATAAATATACCCATTCTAAAATATATAATTTATCTTCCCAATTATCATTCTATGGACACAACAGTCCACATTATATTTTTGTTCTTTCAGAATAAATTATAACACACCAACAGAAGTACTTGTCCTGCTAACAAGTTTTCAGGTCAAAGCTAATTCAACTTTTTTCATTACCTTTTTTTACTACATCAATCAAATATCTCTCATCAGTAGAAGTAATCCCTGACAATAATTCAAACCAAGGCTTCATTTGATAATAAATTATTCCTAAATATGACCTAATCCAAGCTATTGCATGAACCAATTTTTATACATCAGTAACAGTTTTAACTTCAATGTCTAATTTTACAGGCTGAGACATAATCCAAGTATTTGTTATTATCAACCCCAAGTATTTCCAAGGCATCTATTTTCATACATTCTCTGAGGCAATAATGAAATCCAAAAGTTTTCAAATTTGTTACAGCACATTGTTCAAGATCTGACAGCTGTTATTTATTATCAGAACCCAACAAGATATCATCCACGTAATGATTGCAATAGTAATTACTAAATTGCTCTTGCACCTTTGATAAGGCCTGTGCCACAAACCATTAGAATTTTCCATTGATTTGTTTTATTAGATTCAGCATGATTTAAACAAGGCATGGTAAAAGCAAATTTTTCCTTATCTTGTTCAGCCAATGGAATGGTAAAAAAGCAATCTTTGAAATCAGTGATAATATCTCCCATCCCTGTAGAATCATTGTAGGTGTTAGAGGACCTGGTTGTAAAGATCCCATTGTAACCATTACAGCATTTATTTGCTGTAGATCACGCAAAAGTTTCCTTTTTCCTGATTTTTTTTTAATCACAAAAACAGGGGGATTCCATGAACTAAATGACTCTTCAATATGTCCAGCTCACTCTTCAATATGTTCTGCTACTAATGCTTGCAGGGCAGTAAGCTTTTCAATAGGAAGCAGCTACTGGTCAATCCAGACATGTTTACCTGTTAACCATGTTAAAGTTACAACTGGATGCTTAAGGCCTTGCATCACAGTGGTCCCTGATAAAAATCCATAGTAATTTTAACACCCCATTGGGATAAACAATCTCATCCCCATAAGTTACATGGGGCATTGGAAACATAAGGCCTGATGTTTGCTTGTTGGCCATAAGCATTTTTGACATTAATCACAATGGCAGACAGACCTCCTGTAGCAGTGCCACTGAGTTCCATGTTTCCAAAACCTGCTTGAATGAGAGGCCATAGTTGAGGCCACAAAAGTTGTGAAGGTCTAGCTACATCTCCTCCCATGTTAATAAAACCTGTTATTATTGTGGTATCTGGATAATGTCCCTTGGCTGTAATAATGCATTCCTTTTCCAGGCATTGATCTGTCACTTTTTGAGTCCTAAATACTTGAGGTAGCCCTGTAGATCAAAGACCTCTTTGGTCCAGGTTCTTCTACGTGGACCAGCAACACAGAGCTCTGAGCAGCTCCCAACACTTTTGAGAGATCTGAGCCCTCCCCACGGACTTCCTCCAACTGCAGCAGACATGGCCCCCTCCATCGGGATGCAGCTCCCGCCCCCTTTGCACAGTGTCCAGAAGGGCAGTAAGGATGGGGGAGAGGTCCTGGGGGTTCAAGGGGGTCCCAAACAGTGGCAACTCTCCCTCACACCCGCAGCACCCTCTCCTGGGTGCCAGCAGCCGCTCGTCGCAGGGTGGGAAGAGGGAAGGGTAGAGGCTCCTCCAGGAAATCTTATCACTGTCATTTCAGGCAACGACAAATTACAGATTTAATGAGTTCATTCTTCTGCTCAGTTCGGCGGGGAGTGGGGGGACAATCATCTCAGCTTGTTCTTCAATTTGTCTCTACTGTGAATGCATTTCAGCAGAAATAACATATTTTAACTTAGCATTCAGTTTGATTAACTGTTGTGCCAAAGAAAGCCACACAGGCTTAATACAGTCCTTTAGAGACATACCAAGGAGCACCACCTGTCTCCCATGATAGCAGACCCCAGAAAAATCCCCACAAAAGCAACTCCATCTGACTCCTCCGGGAAAAACACATTCTCAAGCTGAATCCCATCTTTCTGCTGTTCCCCATTAACTCCCATTTCTTGTTCTGTCTTCCATATTCTAACACTTAATATTAAAGGCAACACTAGGATCAGTTTCAAAGTCCTATGATTTTTCCACAACAACACACCATGAAGGGCACGATTAAAAGCTTGAAAATCCTTCTTCTTCAGCAAAACTTTGAAGCAGTTTGTCTTCCCTTATTAACTGATTCTCCATTATGTTCCCCAGTGGCTCACTTTTATTACATGAAAGTATGAAAGATCAGTCTGGACCTACAGCAGCTCCCCATGTTGCTTTACGCTTTACTGGAACTCCCCATTGTTCCCAGTGGCTTACCTGCATTCCAGGTGTCAAAATCAATGTCATCCAGACTGACAGCATCTTTCTGCTGCTCTCAAAAGCTACACTGGGGCCCTGTGTCGGGCCATGCCTCACCCCACAACCCAAATGTTGCAGCTCTCCCAGCTGCCGGCAGCCCTTCTCAGCTGCTCCCCCATCACTTTGGCTGTCACCATTTGTTGTAGTTGAGACAGTCATAGTTGAAATGGAGACAATATAAAGCAATACTCCATTTTCAGAAGGCTTCAAACCCGTTTTTGTTCTAGCATGCATGCTTTTTATACATTCTTAAAAAAACTCCTAAGTTTACACTTTACTCACTGGTCAGAAGAGACAAAGTGCTTATTGGAATAGACAATTGCAGGTTTCTCTAATTTACCCTTCTTTCTTGGTTTCTATGTCAACAACATTGGTAGGAAATTCTTTCATGGATAAACATGGATCCTCTTACCAAACTTCTTTCTGGCTCACAGAAGTCGCTGTAAAACCTCTTTATACACCTGGATTGGGTGGGGGTTCTGCTGAAGGAAATAGGTGAGATGTGACTTCAGCAGGTGGTGGGAAATCCTCCCCTTGCCTCAAAGAGGGTGATGGTGCAGCAGTGGAACCCACATACATTGTAACCATCCAGGCTCCAGCTGTCCTGCAAGAGCAGTCACAGACAGCTGCAGTCACTCCTGTGGAAAAGCAGAAGTCTAAGATCAAACCAGCACGCTCAGTTAATAATGATGTGAAACGAGGGAGCTCACAATCCATAGGGGAGCAGGAGGCTGAGTTCATCATTGGGTCCCTGTTGTATGACAGTCTCTGTAATATGTGAAAAGACATTGTACAATGGGGACGTAAGGCTTATTCAACCTGGTGACTTCAGGTTTGGGACCTTATGGATACAGGTGGGCAACTGAATGGTGGTGAGGCAAGGAATTTGGGACTCTTGACCCAGGACTCAGGTATGAATCAGATTTCTGTAAGGGAGCCAGGGTCCCTTTCCCTCTGGGAGTGGCTTTTAATGAGTGTAACAGAGAGGTTTGTCCACAGGGAGAGAATGCAGGAGCACCATCATAGAATGTGCAGGAAGACCCTTGAGCAAGGGATCCAATAGCTGAGAGAAGTGGCAGTATTGGAGGTACTCTTTGGGAGGAAGAGGCAGCATGATAATGACCCTGATAAAGTCAAGTGCACAGGGCAAATGTTGTGTAACCTGGCAAAGCTAGGGCCATCCCAGTACACCACTTCAACAATTACAACAATTAATGCCAAGGACAACTGAGAGACAGTGGGTTCTGTCACCAACAGGCTCAGAAATTATGTGAGTATGATCAATGGCCCAATATAGGTTCATGTCTCTGCTGTGATTAAAGGACCTCAAAGCAGAGATGAGGGAGATCAGTGCTGCACCAGGGCAAGTCACAGGCCCCAAAGTCAGAGCCCAATGTTCCCCAGTTAGAGACACAGGGTGCACCCCACAAGCTGACCTGTGGTTCTTTCTGCACAACCATGGGGAAGACATGAGAAGGTGGGATGGGAAACCACTTCTGCCCTGAAGCACAAGTGTGTCAGCTCAAGGAGGGAAACAGTAGCCAAGAGAGTTCCCCTAAAGTGAAGGTAGCGTCAGCCTCCCATGACTGAGCTGCCAGGTATTACAGAAGGGGGATCTCTTGGATCCCCTTGAAGGAACCTCTTGAATTAATGTTGGAAGCCAAGGTGAGCCTGACTGGGAAGGAGTGGCAGAAACATCCTATTGTGAATGGCCCAGAGGCCCCATGTATTCTGGGCATAGGCTTCCTCTGGAATGGCTATTACAAAGACCCAAAGGGACTCGGGTGGGCTTTTGGAATAGCTGCTGTAGAGGCAGAGAGCATTTAGCAGTTGAACACCTTGCCTGGACAATCAGAAAACCCATCTTCAGTAGGACTCCTGAAGGTGCAAGAGCAACGAGCACCAATTGCCACCTGAATAGTGCATCACTGGCAGTACTGGATGAATCGAGATGCGGTGATCCCCATGCACAAAATGATCCGTGAGCTGGAGAGCCAAGGAGTGGTCACCAAAACCCACTTACCCTTCAACAATTGCATTTGGCCTGTGCACAAGTCTGACAGAGAATGGAGATTGACTGTGGAATCGTGCCTTGAATGAAGTAACTCCACTGCTGAGTGCTACTGTGCTGAACATGCTGGAACTCCAGTAGGAGCTGGAGTCCAAGGCAGCAAGGTGGTACACCACTATAGACATTGCCAATACACTTTTCTCCATTCCTCTGGTAGCAGAATGCAGGCCTCAGTTTGCTTTCACCTGGAAGGGCGTGCAGTACACCTGGAACTGACTGCCCCAGGGGTGGGAACACAGCCCCACCATCTGCCATGGACTGATCCAGGCTACACTGGAAAAGAGTGAAGCTTCAGAATATCTGCATTACATCATTGTGTCGGGGAATGCCATAGTTGTTGTTTTTTTACCTTGCTATACATACTTGTAAAAAACTATTATTCCTATCCTCATATCTTTGCCTGAGAGCCTCTTAATTTCAAAATTATAATAATTCGGAGGGAGGGGGTTTACATTCTCTGTTGCAAGAGAGGCTCCTGCCTTCCATAAGAGACATCCATCTTTCAAACCAAGACACTGGTGTAAGTTTACCAGGATTTCTGTGAAAGATTGTCTTTTCAAAGATTCTTTGTTCAGAAATAATACTGGATTTGTAGTATGTCTTGGACATGTTATATTATAGTACTTTGGTAGACTGTAGTGTTCTTATTTATCTATTGAAAGTTTGATTTCTTTTTGATAGTTTGACAGTCATACTACATCTTTATATTATTCCTAGTATTTCACAGATTTTTTTTTTCCTGGAGCTGCATAAATGCAAGCAACTCAAATCTCTGGATCAGAGCAAAATTTTTCAAGCTAAAAAGCTAAGATGCTCAGGAATTCAAGATTTATTTTTCAATTCCAAAGCAGAAAATGCACACAAAATAGAGCATAGAAACTGCAGGAAATGTTTCACTTTCCTAACCCTTTGTTAGATCCCATCACAATTTAGATTGCTGCATGTCTTGCACCCATGAACCAGCACTTAACAAATTCAAACAAGTTTTGCTTGTGATCCTTAAAAGCTTTCTACTGTGTTTTCTAAAGGCTTTTTTTGTCTCCCTCCCTATGATGCCTTTCTGCATATTTCAGGTTCAGACCTGGTTCACTGGGGCAAATGGAAGAGTTCAGTCACATGGAAGCTGTTGCATAGTACTTCCCTTATTTCCCTCACTGTTTGAGCTAGGCTGGCTTAAAAAGAGGCACACCTTAGCTTTTCAGAAAAAGATAATTTGAAGTTCACGTGTTTTTTTTAATATAACTGGACCCACCCCAACTTTTCAGTTTAGACCATCTTAAAAAGGCACTTACACTGTAATTTCCACATCAGAAGATGAAACTAGTAGTTTTCACTCATGTCACATTTATTCCTATTTTTGTGCTGTTTTCCATACAGACAATGATGTATTTTATTATCAGTGATACCAGTTAATAGAAAGGATTCCTTTACTGTAGGTCAATTAACATGCTGTCAATTTTAACTAAGCAAAAAAAAAAGTTACACAACACTGAGAAAATAGGTTTCCAGGGATCTCCAGTCCCTAAATTAAATTCCTCCTTGAAGCAAAGCTATCCTCATCCATGTGACTGGTGATTTTTTGTTGCACAGAGAGCTTGTACAATGTCCTGAACACTTACATACTCCTTATTTTCTTCAGTAATATGTTTATTTATATTTTGTATTTGACATGACCTCAGTTTCTTTAATCATTTTTCCAGGTGAGATTCCTTGTGATGTTTCATGGCCAGATCACTGAAGTCTTATGACTCAAGGACTGCTCTGCTCCAACTTTGCCTCTGAAGGAATACTGTCATCCTCAGTAGGCGGGATAAATACAAAAAATTTTTTCACCTACTTTTTACTTTAGGTTTCACCTACTTTTTACTTTAGATTTCTTCTTCCCTTCTCAAAGAGAAGATGCCCAACAGCCCACAACCTTCTGTTCTTTCTCCTCTTCCTTGTGTGAAGAAACCTTAATTCCCAGTCCATTCCTGAACTAGATCTATGAATTTTAACAGAGGTACTTTCTCTCCTCAGCACCTGCCAGAATAGACTGATGCAAGAAAGCTGAGACTCATGCAGAAAACATGAGGTACATGTGCATCTGTGTTCTGGTAGGATGCTGAAAGTAGGAGGTCCTTTTCTTATTAATTGCATTTATAGCAAAATGGTCATTACTGAGCAAAATTATTATTAAAGAGTTGTGTTCCACAAGTCTGTCCGCAGTGATTTTGTGTTTATCAGGCCTTGACACTGGCTAGAAGACAGGCACCCATGAAAAACCAGTCACTCATTCTCCTCTGCTATAGCTGAGCAGAGAAGGGGGAAAGAAAAACCAAAAGGCTTATGGTGTGAGATAAGGATTGGGAGAAAACAGTCTAAGGGCAAAACAGGCTCAAAACTTAAATGTTATGAAGAAAAATTTATTAAAAGAATTAAAAGACGATAATGAGAACTAAAATAAACCTTTAGAACACTTCCTCCTCCTTCCCCCCTTCCCCCGCCCCCAGCCCTTCTTTCTTTCCCACTGACAGTGCAGGGAGACAAAGCACGGGGGTTTTACTCAGCTTGTCACTTCTAAAAATCTTCAGTTTGCTTAAGAAGGAGGAGGAGTCTTTTCTGTTATATTGTGGGGTCCTTCCCATGGGAGACAGTTCTTTGTGAACTTCTCCAACGTGGTTCTAATTTTCAGGAGTAGCAGTCCTGCCCAACTGGCTGTAATGTTAGTCACTCCTATTGTATTTTTGTATGTTTCAGTTGTAATGGTTTGTACTTCGGTTTGTTCCAGTTTCCCCCTGTTATAATAGTTCTGCCCCTGTTGCATCCTCCCTCTTCTTTAGTGTCAATCACCCTGCCTCCTCCCCTGTTCCCTATAAACTGTATGTCACTCCTTCAACCCCTGCCCAGTGTCCTGTCTGTCACTCGACAGCCCATCCTCTCCCTCTAGAAACTTCTACCAAGGGCATCAAGTGATAGGTTCCGGTGTTAGCGTTCAAAAACACATAATCACGGAGCGATTATATGCGGTGCTTTTTATTAAGAGCTCTGGGAATCGGGGTATATTCAACCCAAATCTGAATCCGACCGTACATCTGAAATGATCATGTTTTATGCTCTATCGTTACATAACTTTCATGTTAATTATTAAACTTATATTGTTCTATTGTATACATAAATTTAGCCCCTCTCTGAATTTACAACATGGTTTCTCACTATTCTTCTTATGGTCATATAATAATTACATGTAATTACTAAACAATCATCACATCTAACAATTATATAATTTATCATACTGCTTATGCAGGTGCAGTTGATCTGGGAAAGCACAAAGCCTAACATTTTAGATTCTATCTTTAACTTTTTCCAGGGTTCCACTATCATTCTCCCCCCTTTGAAAGCATTTTCACTTCACTATAGGTGTAAATGTTTTCACTTGATACAGTCCTTTATTCCTCAGTTCGTACTTGGTTCTTCAAATCCAGGGTTGATGTAAACATTGTCGTGGATGCTGTTACGAATGGGAGAACCAGAAGATCATGGGCGTGGATCTCGTGTTAGTGCTTTTATTATCCTCTGGTTCCAGGA